TTTTCACAAGATAAATCTGGAAACTAGAAAAGAAAAATATTTTGAATGTTATTGTCATGGTTTACGAAAAATCGTCAATGAACAGAAAAATATTATGTCAACATTGTCATGCCCGATTGTCAATACAGACGCAAAGAAACTTCGGAAACATAAACAATTCTACAGAATTGCATGCAAAGAAATGGTATACGGAGTTCTTGATAAAACAGAGGAGAAGAAAAAAAATGAGGAAAGAATTAGAAAGAAGGTAGGTGTTTTGTTAGTTAGAGGTGCGGACGATCCTGAACGAAAGTTTTATAAATGGAATTGGAAAGTTTATTTAATTGACAGGGATGATGCATTCTGCTTTCATAAGCGCATCACAAAGCCGTATCCTGTTAAATACCTATGTACATATGTCGGAAGAAATAGATTTTTATATATTTATATATTTTATATTTTTATATACTAATTACTGTTTTAATTAAATTAAAATCAAACATCTATATCATATAGCTCCCATTATATTTTTATTTTATTTATTTGTATTTTTTAAAATGTTGTGATATAGTACTTATTTACTATATTAGAATTACGCTTTTAGTTTTGTCAAAATCGGACAACAATATCATTACTGCCATAGAAACGTTGGAAAAATGCTGCGCAAAATCGACATAGCTTAATTTTGTTTTTTTTGGTAATATAGGCTTAGAAATCGATATGTAGTCGTTTTGTAATAACTGCAAGGGAATATGAACTTCGGCTTGCCGATTTTTGATACTTTCTTCTTAATTATAGGATAAGTTGTGATTATCGATGCCCTGAGAATGCATTCGGTAGTCTCAGCGCAATGTATGTAATCCATGCCAATTAATGTTTTGAACGACTTGCCGTCGGGTTTCCCCTATATTTTCGGTAATGTGCTTAATATTAATTAAAAACAAGAGAGAACGCTATAGTCGGGTGCCCCGACTATCAGATACCCGTTACTCAGGTAAAGGGAGTGCGAGGGAGATGGAGATAGAAACTTTGATCACGCATAACTTTTTAAAGAATGGTCCGATTTGAAAACATTTCGATAGGTATTGATAAACACAATAAAACTGCATTTTTACTTTTCCGAAATATTTAAATTTTTAAAATCGTATATAAGCGATTGTGGGCGTTAAAGGCGGCGTGGCACCTTTTTGAAACAAACTTGCGCTGCGTAGGAACTCCTAGAATCTGCATGCAAAATGTCAATCTTCTAGCTTTTATAGTTTCCGAGATCTCAGCGTTCATACGGACAGACAGACGGACAGACAGACGGACAGACGGACATGGCTATATCGACTCGGCTAGTGACCCTGATCAAGAATATATATACTTTATAGGGTCGGAAACGCTTCCTTCTAGCTGTTACATACTTTTGCACGAATACAATATACCCTTTTACTCTACGAGTAACGCGTATAACAAGAGAGAACGCTATAGTCGAGTGCCTCGACTATTAGATACCCCTTACTCAGCTAAACAACTTTTGATTTTGCATTAACATAATGTGATTTAGAGTGACCACAGGAAAATAGGACAAAAAGTTCAAATTATCAATTTGAATTAGGCGATCTCTTAGCGCTGGCAGCTTTACAGCACGAGCATCAGCACCAGCGCTGCTTTAGCGCAGGCAGCTTTTGTCCTGCACCAGCATACACACATAGGCCATTATTTGACTCAGACCTCCAATTTAACTAACTTGATTTGATTTGCACAGTTCTTGGGATATAGTTCGGTATTGACAAATGAAAACCATCGCAATTTCCTTTAATAGAAATCCTTATAGAGAATTAACGTTGACTCTGTTGAGCACCCTAGCCAGCTGTTCCAAAGTCATCCGTTAGATGGCGCTATTGTATTGCGCCATCTACCCCAAGACATTGGTACCACGGGCCATGAAAGGCGGAAATGTAGGCGCTAGCCAGGCTTAAGCGTTTAATGAGTTTTTGGGCGTTAGAGTAGGCATGGCAAACTTTTATTAGGTCAATCGATAGGTATTGACGAAACAAATACATATCAATTCAAATTTTCATAATAGCATCAAAACTGTGGCCACAGCTTGTGGCTTGTGGGCGTCAGAGGGGGCGTGGCACCATTTTGAAACAAACTTGCACTGCGTAGGAACTCCTTAAATCTACATGCAAAATGCCAATCTTCCAGCTTTTATAGTTTCCGAGATCTCAGCGTTCATACGGACGGACAGTCAGACGGACAGACGGACATGGCTAGATCGACTCGGCTAGTGATCCTGAACAAGACTTTATAGGGTCGGAACCACTTCCTTCTACCTGTTACATACTTTTGCACGAATACAATATACCCTTTTACTCTACGAGTAACGGGTATAACAAGAAAGGAAAGCTAACTTCGGGCGGAGCCGAAGTTGAAATACCCTTGCAGAATATTCTGTAAATTATATTCTCCAAAATTATTCATATGATGCATTTTTAACACTCATAAAAATCCCAACTTCCTAACTTAAAAAAACACCAAAGTTATGGCATTTCCAATCGTTCAGTTATATGGCAGCTATAGAATATAGTATATAGTATATACTGCGTGCAAAGGAATGAAGGGTGTGTGCAAAGTTTCAATTCGATATCTTTAAAACTGAGGGCTAGTTCGCGTAAAAACAGACAGACGGACAGACGGGCATGCTTATATCAACTCAGGAGCTGATCCTGATCAAGAATATATATACTTTATAGAGTCGGAGATGTCTCCTTCACTGCGTTGCCCACTTTTGAGCAAAATTATAATACCCTCTGCAAGGGTATAAATATGAACAATAACCTTTGATGATATCTTGGCTATCTAAAGAAATTTACAGACAATAACATATAAATCTGATTTAGGTATTTATAAATGTTATATATATATATATTTAATAAAGCACTATTATGACTTACAATATTTGTCCATATCTACTGCATTATACCAAGTTTTCTTTTGATAACATTGGAATCTAAATGCTTTTTGTCGATCAACCCCAAAATACTGGCCTGAACTGCACAGATAATATTACAACGTTTTTATTCTCTACATTAAATTCTTGCGATCTTTTCCCAAACTGACAAACACTTTCAATGATTAGGATATGCATTATTTTCGATAAGGCCTAAAGCCTAGTACTCAGATTGACGAACTCCGTTCGTCAGCTATGAGAAAGAGCACGGGACAGAGCATACACTTTTCGGGAGGCGCTTTTTGTCACCACGGTACTCAGATCGGCGAAAAAATACCAACCACCTGAAATGAACTCTTAGCGAACGTTCTTTATGTCCTACCGAAAAGATAACAAAATTTAATCTTTTGAAGTGTCTATTGTCAGAGCAGAGTGTTTCTTAGATCAAAAATGTCGGTCTGAGTACCGAGATCAAAAAAGGCCCGACTCAGGGCAATTGTTGCAATCAAAAGTCACCTACGACCTTATCAGCTGCTTGCAAAATGTCATTGGCCCTATTTATAGGGCTATGAAACATTGGTGATATTATTTTATTCATTGAAAATGTCATTGGAACACTAACGAAAATTCGCGGTCTGAAACAATGATTGAGTGCAACAATATAGTGCAACAATGTAGAGTAATATTGCCATTATGACTACAAGGCTATTCTAAGCTTTGCATCTCTTTTCGATCTGTGTGGAAAAAAACATTAATATTATAAGTATGGTTTTATTTTAAAAGTAAAATATATACGTTGTTTAGATTTATTTCTACCAACTCCTGCTAATTACATTTGTCTGCTAGTTTAGCATCCAATCCACAGTCCTGCTATCCTTCTTTGCCTTATTCTCCAGAATACTTACACGTTTTGTGAGGTTGACCTCTACTGTGCTCAAAAGGCGTGATTCGTTTATTGATTCTTTATATCATGGTTCGGCAACCTTTTCGTCGATCAGTTGCAAGAATTCCACACCGAAGATCTTCTACTGAGTTGAAAATTTAAATGTAATTTGTTGTAGCAACTGGGCGTCACTTCATTTCTCGCTTCACAAGCGCAGAACAGACAAATTAGGGTGTGACAAAGATATCTGTTCGGTTGAATTTCGGTTGGAAACAAGTACAATGTTGTTGGTTGTTTCAAATATTTTGTAGGGATTTGCATTTTTTGATTGATTCGTGTAATTATTTTCAGATAATGCATTGTGTTGAATTGTTTTCGGGAGTTTTCATGGTTACATTTATTTAAAGGTTGAAATAATTGTTTTACTTAGTACGAATGCACTTGATTTACAAATGTTGTTCTTGTTTTGACAGCTTGGAACTTGGAATCAAGAGTTTTAAAAAATGTTATCAGTTTTATACAAGATTTTTTTTTAATTCACATTAGAGAAATTTGTCTTAAAACTAGGTTTTATTTGTGAGTGTACTATTTTCATTTGAATGTTTTCTGCTACTGGCGGCAACAAAAGCGAAAGTTTATTATGGTTACGGTTGCCATTTAAAACGAACAGCAACATTGACAAGCATCAATGAGTTTCTGGTACCATATACCATGTACCATGTACATACATAGAATGATTCCGTTAATGCCGATCGTGATTTTTTATGCGAATAGTATTAAAGCCGGTAAAACTTTTCAAAAAGAGGTTAATATGACGTATTCGGTTTGTGCCAAAAAGGAAAACTTGGACAAAGAACTGTTTAGTTGTCTGATGCAGTTGCATCGACGAAACGAACCATAAGCAGTGAAATTCAGTCTTAATAAGAATCGCTTCAAACAGCAAAAGTGGTAAGTATCCCAAGCAATGCCTTAAGTGAGGATACCTCACTGTGGATACATTAATATCATATATGAATACATAGTAAGACATCATAAGCGATGTTCGCCTACATTATTTCATCAGACGTCGTTGAGAATTCATATTTTATAAAAGGTAATGTAGTCTATAAGCCCAATAAAAATAATTTAAGTATTTCCCTGTCTGTCTTTTTGTCCCCTACCTTTATCCCTTATCTAATGTTCCGTTCCATTTAAACTTACCGAGTTAATATCTGAGTATTAAATGAGATGCTGCAGTTGCAAAGCAGATGGGACGTCAGTTGTCAGCCGGAATCAGCAAATCAATTTATAAATAGAGGCAGGAGAAAGCACAACAACTGATATATAAATTATTTTTTCTGCCGTTTTTACAACATTACTAAATACGGGGACCTCGCGGCAGACACTTAGACGCCGTTACAAAAGCACCAACTCCAGTGGGCAGTCGACGTGCATAGATAAGAAACACTCACATATGTTGATTATATACAACAAGACGCAACTAAAGGCCCAGAAATGGCAACCGGAAATATTAGTATTAACTATTTGGTCACCGTTAACAGCGCCAGGTCTCGAAACCAAATACGACACTCTTAGCGGAGGATAGGGATGCGAACACGGAAGCGTAAGCGAATCTCGCGACAACCGAACGTTATGACAGCCGATTTGACACTGGCACGAACGCGGAGAACGAGCAGCCGAGCAACCAGCATCCCATCTACGAGTCGTGGTAGTCGTCAGTTCGGCTGTGGCATGTTAAAAAGATAAACAAATGTTGCGGTTGGCCGTGATTTATGTTAGCTTACATATGTTTATTGCTCCCGTTGCAGACCTAACATAACATGCCGTGCCCCAAAAACTGAATCGAAATCTGAGACCGTTAATGTACTTCCCGGAATGCGTCAAACTAAATTTCATGTTTATCATGAGAGAGGAATATGTATAAAAAAATATTAAAGGGTGCAAAAAACGTATCAGATATAAAAATAACAAAAAACTTTGATCATCGCTTTATAAATTGGGCGTACAATCAATTGTATATTTGTATAACCGTTTTTAATGGTTCCACGGCAAAGAGAAGGCAAATGGGCTTCTTCGCAGTAAATTTGGTAATGTACTCAAGATGTTGTCCCAATTAATACAAAAAAATGTAAATAATTTGAGTTGAGAATTTAATGATTGTGTTTTAGATTTAAAACACAATTAATAAAAACAAAATTGGCAACAAAATACAGTTTTGCCTTAGAACATTTAACTTGCAGTTAAAATCCGCTTGATTTAAGTACTGTTCTGAACAGTTCACAACATTTTCTATTCACTGTTCTGCACAGTTCACAAAAGAACTGTTTACAGAACAATTTCTCATTAACATTTCCCCTTGGAGCTTTAAGGCAAATTTAACTAAGTCATTTAAAACATTCTCCCCGCATCTAAGTCCCTGTTAAGGCATGTTAACCAAGTTGGTAAGTTATCCCTTTACATTTACCGTTATTACCCCTAAAAAAGTTTCTACCAGAAGCCTAAAAGCAATTTGCAAGCCTGCCAAAGCTTTGGGGCGCTTACAAAGCTCCCGTTGCACAAAGCTTCCGTTGCACAAAGCTCCCCTTCAACTCCACTTGACAGCGCAAACAGCGAAAGCCAAAACACAGGCAAACAGCTGACTTTCGAAAGTCACCGCACTATTCCCAATCACTCAGCTGTTGCAGGGCCAAAACAGTTACGCGCTGGTTCTACTTGAAAAGGTCTTAAAAACAACAGGAAGGACCAAGGAAAGGGGTTGCTGGCCTGAGCAGCAAAGCCTTGACCCAAGAATATGACGCCATGTAGGCGCAAAAATAATGTGAATCGCTAGGCACAACTACACCGAAACCAAAAAAGATCTTGCAACAGCAGCAGGAGTTGCACGTTTCCATGGGTTCATGTCTTGGCAGCAGTGCTGCCACCGCCACCGCCCCCGCCCAAACCGCAAACACATCGACGTCTAACTCTAGCACTCACTCAACGACCTCGGGATCGTCTTACTTGACAACCCCATCACCCTTTTGGATGGCAAACAGCTGGCTTGGGTAAGTTAGTTATGTTATCTAAACTTTATTAAATTTGTAGCTCGCAAATCCAATAACCAGTTTTCTAACTAGACAATCAACATAATCTTAGCTAGGGGTTTGGTTTATTTGGTTTACGACTGGCCCACAGGTAGTCTAAACTGCTTGGTAAATACAACTGGTCGAATTCCAGTCGCTGCTATCCAACGGATCAATAGCCTGAAAATGTGCAACGGCCGCTGGGCCTTCCTCCCTAATGGGTGGTAACTGCAAGTTATCCCCGCAGCCACAACCAGATCCATAAGCTCTAAATTCAAGTACTATTACATTCTGCAAAATTTTTATTTTTGCAAAGGTCTTTAACGTAGCTCTTTCGGTTCTAAACTTTAGCAATTGCTTTCTTTCCATTTACCACTCTCTTTTATTTTTCACTATGTAGGCGGCACCACAAAACCGGAGGTAGAGTTGATGAACGAGAAAGATACGGTCAACAGGTAGAGCTCATATCAAGTGCGAAAAGGACTTGCTGCCAACGAAACGGATTCATCTACCGCGTGCTACGGTTTAAGCGGAGGCAGCAATGCCGAAATTTGTTAGGCCAGAACTGTGAGCAGCAGTCCAGCTATGCCAAGTTGCAGTGTGAGTGTGGCAGGTATGTGAGGCCCTCAGTAACGTTAGAATACTGACAGAATCCTTTCAGAGCCATGCCTGAAATTCAGATGCAAAACCTGGACGCCTGCAAGCTGCTTAACGCCCAGGCAACGCCCACCAGAGAGACAGAGATGGGACGAGGAAACGTTCTGCGCATTTTTAACTCACGTGCCAGCTCCTCATTGGACCTTGAGTGGGAGCACGAGTACTCGCAGCTGCGGCAGTACCAACTCCAATGCCAACAAACTTGTAAGGAGCCACATTCTATGCCGCCCAAGCCACGATATACATCCCTAGACCAGCTGGCGGCAGCTGCAGCAATGGCTACCGTTCAAGGACGACATGTGGCACGGCAAGCAAGGTTTAACATCCAGCTCCACGGGGGCCCAATCACGCGGACTTCCTGCTGCTCGTCCACGCAGAACTCCTGGTCCCATACATCCACGCCGGAGTCGCTTGAATGGGACGTGGACGAAGAACGGGAGCAGCAGCGCCAGTTGCGCTTAGAGGACGACAATTTAGATGAAGGCACCCTAAAACTACTGCATCAGATCGAGCAGCTAAAACATCATGTGTTGCGGGAGACAGGAGACGGACTCAGCGTGGAGGTTAAGGCCGCCGAAGAGTTGACCGAGGGTCTTCAGTTGGAGACCCATGTAAGTTAATTTAGTATTTTAAGAGGTGTCAAATCACATTTTAGTTGCAACTAAAATACCTTCTGAGAAGTGTTCATGAAGCCCTTGAAAGACACATTTCCGCTTTCAATCTGATTGGCCGAAACTCATTCCTATTATTTTGCTGTTAATTACAAAAATAATGATTTATCATTCGCAACGCAAAATTAATGGCAGAGGACATATTATGTTCAATGTCAATTTAAAATTTCGTTCTAAGCTCAAGTTGCCAGCACCCACGAGCACGAAACTCATAATTTTTCCTACAAGACGAACCAGTAAGAAGTAAATGTAGTTATTATACCCTTGCAGGGGGTATTATAATTTTGGGCAACGCAGTGAAGGAGACATCTCCGACCCTATAAAGTATATATATTCTTGATCAGGATCACCTCCTGAGTTGATATAGCCATGTCCGTCTGTCCGTCTGTCTGTTTCTACGCAAACTAGTCTCTCAGTTTTAAAGCTATCGATTTGAAACTTTGCACACACCCTTCTTTCCTTTGCACGCAGTATATAAGTCGGAACAGCCGGGATCGGCGGACTATATCCTATAGCTGCCATATAACTGATTGATCGGAAATGCCATAACTGTGGAGTTTGTAAAGTTATGAAGTTTGGATTTTCTTGGCCAATCAATCAAACCTACCAAATTTCATAAAGATCGGCCGACTATATCCTATAGCTGCCATATAACTGGACGATTGGAAAAGCCTTAACTTTGGTGTTTTTAAAGTTAGGATTTTTTATGAGTATTAAGAATGCATCATATGAATAATTTTGGAGAATATAATTTACAGAGTATTCTGCAAGGGTATATCAACTTCGGCTCCGCCCGAAGTTAGCTTTCCTTTCTTGTTTTTATACCCGTTACTCGTAGAGTAAAAGGGTATATTGTATTCGTGCAAAAGTATGTAACAGCTAGAAGGAAGCGTTTCCGACCCTATAAAGTATATATATTCTTGATCAGGGTCACTAGCCGAGTCGATATAGCCATGTCCGTCTGTCCGTCTGTCCGTCTGTCTGTCCGTCTGTCTGTCTGTCTGTCTGTCCGTATGAACGCTGAGATCTCGGAAACTATAAAAGCTAGAAGATTGGCATTTTGCATGCAGATTCTAGGAGTTCCTACGCAGCGCAAGTTTGTTTCAAAAAGGTGCCACGCCCCCTTAAACGCCCACAATCGTTAATATACGATTTTAAAAATTTAAATATTTCGGAAAAGTAAAAATGCAGTTTTATTGTGTTTATCAATACCTATCGAAATGTAGAAGAAATTTTTCAAATCGGACCATTCGTTAAAAAGTTATGCGTGATCAAAGTTTCTATCTCCATCTCCCTCGCACTCCCTTTACCTGAGTAACGGGTATCTGATAGTCGGGGCACCCGACTATATCATTCTCTCTTGTTTTTTATTTTAGTGTATCATATATTAATGCTTAACTTTTACTTAAGTATTTGATAAACAACAGTTGTTGTGTTATAACCAAAAATTTTCGAGTATATATGTATTACTTTTAATGATCGGACTTTTCTTTCACAGAATTGTGTATATTATTTAAAGTAAATAGTGCTAAAGGTAATTGTATTTTAAAATTACCATATTTGAGTTAATAGAGTCGTGAAATATATAAAAAAAAGATGATTCTTCGTAATAAATTTTCTGCTTGGAAATAGTATCTAAATTTAGCTTTTTGCAGGCGAGGTCTTCTGGGTCGCTTACTAGGAGTATTACTAGCAAGTCAGATTTCAGCTTAAAACCTAGTACTCAATCCATTCGTCAGCTATGGGACAGAGCGTGCGTACGATTGCGCAGACTTTATTAATTTTCCTCGGCGATTAATAGGAGCTGTAAATAAGAAAATGTGCAATAATTCACTTTTTTATTGAAATGCTTTTGTTCGACTGACTTTTTAAACAAATAAAAAAGGAAAATGGTTCCGAGTATTCATAAATTCCTAACACGAGAATCAGAATATATGTATATTTGAGTATCATTTTTAATAATCCTTGGAAGCACAGTAAATTCTTTTAATATTTTACTTCATCCTCGACTGCCTGCGCGACGTTACCACTAACACAAATAACAAATAACAGAAGGATTAGAATAAATGCGGGTGGATATGGATTTGTTAATTTTGTCATTTTCATGCGAAATCTTTTTATAAAATTGCTTCCTTTCTTACTACACAAATCCAATTTTTCTAGTGCCTTGTTTACAAAAAAATTATGTAAAAGTTGGCGACAAGAAAAAACCATAAATTCTCTTGAAAAAAATAGGAAAATTTTTCTTAGACCAAAAATGGTCGGAACAAGAAAGGAAAGCTAACTTCGGACGGAGCCGAAGTTGATATACCCTTGCAGAATATTCTGTAAATTATATTCTTCAAAATTATTCATATGCTGTATTCTTAATACTCATAAAAAGTCCCAACTTCCTAACTTTAAAAACACCAAAGTTATGGCATTTCCAATCGTTCAGTTATATGGCAGCTATAGGATATAGTCGGCCGATCCTTATGAAATTTGGTAGGTCGGATTGATTGGCCAAAAATAAAACCCATAGAAAATCCCAACTTCCTAACTTTGCAAACACCAAAGTTATGGCATTTCCGATCAATCAGTTATATGGCGGCTATAGGATATAGTCGTCCGATCCTTATGAAATTTGGTAGGTCGGATAAATTGGTCAAAAATAAAACTCATAGAAAATCCCAACTTCCTAACTTTAAAAACATCAACGTTATGGCTTTTCCGATCGTGCAGTTATATGGCAGCTATATGATATAGTCGCCCGATCCGGCTCGTTCCGACTTATATACTACCTGCAATAGAAAGACAACTTTTGGGAAAGTTTCAAGCAGATAGCTTTAAAACTGAGGGACTAGTTTGCGTAGAAACGGACGGACGGACGGACAGACGGACGGACAGACGGACAGACGGACGGACAGACGGACATGGCTAGATCGACTCTCCTGGTGATGCTGATCAAGAATATATATACTTTATAGGGTCGGAAATGTCTCCTTCACTGCGTTGCAAACTTTTGACTGAAATTATAATACCCTCTGCAAGGGTATAAAAACGGAAAAGAACTGAGTGCAGAGCTATGACCCTTAAATTACCAACTAATTATACTGCTCGTCGCTTGAATAGGACACCCTGGTAAAAATACTCTAGTTTTTCCATATTATCTTAGTGCAAGCATTTTTCGCTCTTGCTGGTATATTTCAAGTTTTAAAATAGAACCGTTATAAAGTTGTTCAAGTGAGCATTCACTTGAATAGACCATACATTTTATTTGGTCGTTATCGTTGGCACGTGGAGAGAAATTCTAGTTTACTTAAACATTTTGCTTTTTTCGATTAAATTTAATTAAAAAGTTAAAATGGGGCGTGACACTTCATTATATGAGCCGGAGAGAAGGGAAAATCCCAGCTTACAAGGATTCTGGGCTATCTATTGCCAAATACCAAATTTTTTAAATAGGGAGGCTAATTATTTTAAAAACGTGAAGGTCCGCAACCACAGTATGCTTACTAGCGCGGACAAGCGACTTAAATCAAAACAAGTTTCCAATTCGCAGGATTCTTTGGCCAAGATAAGGGAAAAGTGCAACGTTAAAGCAAGTTTGACAACCATGCCTCGTGTTATTGCTAATGGTCCACACCTGAAGGGACTAAAAATCAAGAAGAAACTACTTCTTAGCCCGACTCGGAAGTTGCAGTGCCATGTTTTTCTAGATGGCTTCGTTTAGCAGCAATTAACTATAAAAAATACACTTTGTGGGTGTTCCATTCAAGTGGTGATGTTCTTTGTTTATTGGAAACCTGGTAGCTCCCGGGTTTTATTGATGTTCTTGTGGAATGTGATGGCTCTAATTTGTATCGTTCTGATCGTGATAGTTATGGGGGAGGGGTTGGAGTATATATAAGTAAACAAGAAAGTAAGCAAACTTCGGCAAGCTTTATACACCCTTGCAGTTATTACAAATCGACTACGTTTCGATTTCTATGCCTAAAAACAATGAAGCTGTGTCGATTTTGCGCTGCATTTTGCCATCGTTTCTATGGCAGCTATATGATGTTGTTGTCCGATTTTAATTTAATTAAAACCGTAACTCAACAATATTTAAATAATACCAAATCCCAAAGAACAAAAAAAATAATTAACAAGAAAGGAAAGCTAACTACGGGTGGAGCCGAAGTTAATATACCCTTGCAGAATATCCTGTAAATTATATTCTCCAAAATTATTCATATGATGCATTCTTAATACTCATAAAAAATGACAACTTCCTAACTTTAAAAGCACCAAAGTTATGGCATTTTCAATCGTTCAGTTATATGGCAGCTATTGGATATAATCGACCGATCCTTATGAACTCTGGTAGGTCGGATTAATTGGCCAAAAATAAAACCCCTAAAAATCCAACCTTCCTAACTTTAAAAACACCAAAGTTATGACAATTCCGATCGTTCAGTTATATGGCAGCTATAGGATATAGTCGGCCGATCCCGGCCATTCCGACTTATATACTGCGTGCAAAGGAAAAAATGGTGTGTGCAAAGTTTCAAATCGATAGCTTTTTAAACTGAGAGACTAGTTTGCGTAGAAACAGACAGACGGACAGACGGACATGGCTATATCAACTCAGGAGGTTATCCTGATCAAGAATATATATACTTTATAGGGTCGGAGATGTCTTCTTCACTGCGTTGCACACTTTTGACCAAAATTATAACACGGGTATAAAAACAACAAAGTTATAATTTTTTTGAATTTGTTTTCCGATTGTTCCTATGGGAGCTATATAGTCGGCCGATCCGGCTCGTTCCGACTTATATACTACCTGCAATAGAAAGACAATTTTTGGGAAAGTTTCAAGCAGATAGCTTTAAAACTGAGGGAGTAGTTTGCGTAGAAACGGACAGACGGACGGACGGACGGACGGACGGACATGGCCAGATCGACTCTGATGCTGTTCATTCCATCGGTAGTATAATAAAACTTTAATTTGTAGAATTCAAACATAATTGTAAAACTTCTGGTTGGGTGCATGCAAATTAAATTTCTTGTTAGTCGATGACCTAAAAAAATACCATTTTTTATTATATTATTTTGGTGATAAACCTTTTCTTAAACACTTTAAATACAAGACACTTTTTGTTACTTTCTAATTTTTTTTCAACCGAACGCGGTCGCGATAAAAATAGGACTACCGCTTCATTTCTAAATCTAATCCAATGAACATCGGCCAGGAGCTTTTCTTTTTGAACTTTAGAACTTCAATTTATGTTTAGATTAAAAGC